TATATATATTATGATTGTTCATCTATCTATTTATCAATCCATCCATCTCGTCTCGATCCATCTATTTATTCCATCCATCTATATATCTATCCACCTACTCATCTATTCATCATTCACTCCATCCGTATTCATTCATTCATCCATTCTATTCATTCATTCATTCATTCATCCCTCTCATCCATCCATTAATCCATCCATTAATCCATCCACCATCTATCCATCTATCATCATCCATCCATCATCCAAGTCAATCCATACATCCATCCATCCATCCTCCATCATCCATCCATCCCATCCAATTCATCCCATCCATCCATCCATCCATCCATCCATCCATTCCATCCCAATCCATCCATCATCGCATCCATCCATCCATCCATCATCCATCATCCATCCATCATCCATCCATCCATCCATCCATCCATCCATCCAATCCATCCATCCATCCAGTTCCATCCATCCATTCATCCATTTCATTCTACTTCATCTATCCATTTACCATCTATCCCATTTCATCCATCCATCCATCCATCTATCCATCCATCCATCCATCCATCCATCCATCCATTCATGCAATTCCATCTATCCATATTCCATCTATCCTCTATCCACTCTATCCATTCCATCCATTTTATCATCCATCCATCCATCCATCCATCCATCCATCCCGCTCCATTCATTTTCATCCATCCATCCATCCTATCCATCCATCCATCCATCCATCCCATCGCATGCATTCATCCATCCAATCCATCCATACCATCCATCCATCCATCCATCCATCCATCCATCTCCCCATCCATCCATCCATCATCCATCATCCATCGCATCCAATCCATCCATCCATCCATCCATCTATTCATTCATTCATCCATCTATTCATTCATTCATCCATCCATCCAATCCATCCCCCATACATCATCCATCCATCCATCCATTTCATCCATCCATCCATCCATCCGATCCATCCATCCATCCATCCATCCATCCATCCATCCATCCATCCATCAATCCATCCATTCATCCATCCATCCTTCCATCCATCCATCCATCCATCCATCCATCCATCCATCCACCAATTCTTTCATTCATTCATCCAATCCATCCATCCATCCATCCATCCATCTATCCATCCATCTATCCATCTGTGCCATCCATCCATCTATCCATCCATCCATCCATCTATCCCATTAGCATCCGTGTCCGTACAGTCCTGTTGTTTTGTCCGCCTTATTAAAATGTAAAAAATATACGAAGATACAACGTGAATATCGCACAGACTTCACGGGTGTTTCGGTGGGAGACGAATGCCTTAGTATATTCGCCTCGCATCAGGGTATTTCTGGCCGCGCAGTCACGTTGATTTCAAAGGAGACTAGCTACGAGTCATAAAAGTAGGCAGAGAGAAAAAAAAATCGGCGAGTGTGTAAAAAAGTTGATCTCTCTCTCTCTCTCTCCTCTCTCTCTCTCTCTCTCCTCTCTCTCTCTCCTCTTTCTCTCTCTCTCTCTCTCTCCCTCTCTTTCTCTCTCTCTCTCTCTCTCCCTCTCTTTCTCTCTCTCTCTCTTTCCCTTCCCATCTCTTTCTCTCTAGCTCTTCCCCTCTCTCTCTCGTCACAACATACATAGATATTCTCGCTGAACTCTTCACCCGATAGACTGTTTTTTAGATGGTTAAAAATATGGAACTAAGCGCAGATGTGACCGCCGACGCAGTGAATACTGGGATTTCTCAAACCTAAGCTGTGAAATTAAGAGAATGTCCCTAACCATAGATACCCTACATTACTGCGGTATAAAGTTTTTTAATTGTAATATACTGTAATCGTAAAAATAGTGTGATAGTATTAGTGTATAATACCGTAATTGCAATGTAGTAGAACTATAGTTAATAGTGTCTATATAGACATCCTTGACACTGACCGGGAAAATCTCGGCCCTAAAAATACTACCAGTAACAATATAGATTGATAAATTTTTAATTAGAAGTGACGAAAATAGTTTTGATAACAAGCTCGTTAGTGTGACTTAAGCAGTTTGATGTTCAATGATTGGTTGTTCGGCATTTACGAAATTGCTTGTTCATTATTGGACGTCGGCTCTCCGATTGAAGATTCGCTTAAACGCAGGATTACACAGGATCCGGTAAGATCAGCGAAGTGATTCGCAAGATCGTCTATCTTGGCAAAGCGCCTAGAGAGGCAATCGAAGAGATGAACGGATGAAGAGATGGACGAATGCCTATAGATGAATGGATAAATAGACAGACGGACAGGCGGACAGGCGAGCTGAAGGTCAGACAGGCGGACAGACGGACGGACGCACGGACGGACGGACGAATGATTAGAAAAACGAATCGATAGATCGACAAACATCCGGATGGACGGACCCGGACACGTGCGTGCGTGCGTGCGCGTGTGAGTTCGCGCGTGAGAGAGAGAGTGAGTGTGTGTGTGTGTGTGTGTGTGTGTGTGTGTGTGTGTGTGTGTGTGTGTGTGTGTGTGTGTGTGAGTACATGCGTGCGTGCTGGTTGGTGCTGGTGTCGGCTTCTCTTCAGTACCGCTACGGTCCTGGCAAGCAGCCGTATCTCCTCTGCCTCAGCGTGGTCGCAGACCAACGGACCTGTGGACCAGCAGACCTTGTTCGTTGCTCACTTATTACTCGGTGGCCAGGAAAACCCAAATATGGGCATGTAGGCTGTGAACATGTTCCCTAACTCTAACCCTAATGTTAATCCTAACTCTAAATCCAACAACAAACCTCTATCGATCTCTCGAACTCAAATCCAAACATCTATCACTACAGACAGACAGACAAACAGACGGACGGAAGGCCAGCCAGCCAGCCAGCCAGCCAGCCAGACAGACAGACAGACAGATAGATCGACGAACGAACGGACGGGTGAACAGACTAAAGACGAGTAAGACTGACGTACACGCTCTCGTACACACACGCTGTTAATGAGTCAGCATCCCACGCAGCCTCGACAATTCTCGACCACGTAAACGCGTGCACACGCCGCGTATTCCGGCAGCCGAATTTCTGCAGATCGAGTTTTCATGATCAGGTTTTTACCAAAAAATGTGACGGGACGCCGCTGCCGCAGGGGTCAGTGACAGTATGGGACGTAGGCAGGCGGTCACACAGTGTAGCAGTGTGTTTGCATGGTCGCGTCAGCTGGGTGGGGTTACTGACATATCGCTCGTGGCTTTGTGCAGGTAACGGGGAAGAGGAAGCGAGAAAGAAATGGATAGGATTAGAGCTGGAGAACGAGGGAGATGAACTAGGAGAAGATAGAGAGAGGGAGGGCGAGAGCGAGAACTAGAGAAGTAGAGAGATGGGGGGGGGGGAGAATGAAAGAAGGGGGATACGAGGAAGAGCGAGAGAGAGGAGAGGAAGAGACACACCTAGAGACATATACACATAAGGCGAGGGAAGGGGAAGGATGGGAGAAGAAGGTGGTAGAAAGAAAAAAAGAAAGCAAGAACGAAAGAAACAACAAAAACGTAGCAGTGCGAAAATGAGAGACGGAGCGAGAGAAGGTGGGGGGAGTGAGAGTGAGAGGGGGAAGGGGCATATAAAGCGGGGTAGGAAATAATCGTAGGTGGGGGAGGGAGGGGGACCGGAGGGGTGAGAGTGGGCGTAAATATTAGTGAAAGGGCGCGAGAAATGCACGGGATACAGAGAGATCACGGTAGATTAGGACATAAAGAGGGAGAAATCCTAGTTGATCCACTATTATTACCAGAGGGAAAGCTGAAGGGAAACCATCGACTTGCAGCCGGAAATGAACGAGGGAGAAAGAGAGGGGGAGAGAGAGAAATGGAGTGAGGGAGAAAGAAACAGAGACAGAGAGAGGGAGAGGGGCACGTGAGAGAGAGAGAGACACGCACATAGAGAAAGACAGAGTGAGGGAGGGAGAGAGAGAGAGAGAGAGAGAGAGAGAGAGAGAGAGAGAGAGAGAGAGAGAGAAAGAGAGAGAGA